ATAGTCTGGTTCGTAATAGGTAACAGCATATTTACTTTACTATATATTACATATTTAGCATCGCATATTTTGAATTTGAATTTGAATAGAATATATAAAGGACTACGGTCGCAGAAAAATCATCCTCATCGAAACCGACAAATGTTTGGGTAAAGTCTTTAAAATCTTTCAACGATCTAAGATGATTCACAAATAACTGAATATTCACGGTGGCAGGGCCACGCAGCAGCCTCGGCTGTTGCACGAACGGGCAGGCTCGTCCGGGTAAGTACCACGACCTCACAGAAGACCGGCGTAAAGTGGAAGTATAATACTTTCGCGTATCGTCTGTGAGTGAGGCACGGCCGTAGCTAGGAGGGGGCATTGTAGGGCAATGCCCTACCTTAAAATCACAATGCCCTACCTTAAAAATACCAAAATAGAAATGCGTAAATATGACCACGTTTTTCAATTTCGTACACGTCTCAAGTGATTTCCCATCCTACTTCGCCGGAGTTTGTATATTCTTTCTATGTTGTACCTACTGTGTTCTATTTCATGTTTCTACTCCACTTTATTTAAAGGAGAAATTTGAATTTGTAGGGCTTCCAGGGGAAGATTCTACCTTCTCCGCGGAAGCTCATTTTAAAGGTGCCAAATCACAAAACGTAATTTTTTGAAAAATCTTTTACCGTACAGGCTGTTAAACTCTACTACTGCATTATATACTAGTACCCGGAGGAGGAGGTTTGTTTTTTTTTTGGTAAATCGTGTGTTTTGGAAATTAAATTTAGATACAAATTACCGAGTAATGAAATATACATAATATTTTTCGATCTTACCGACGTAATAATAAGAAAATATGAACTGATGTTTTGCATAAAAGAAAGAACTTTAAAAAAAAAGGGAAAAAATAACAAAAAGGACAAAAAATTAAAAATAAAGAAAGCAATGATCTGGAATCGAAAACAAAGTAAAAAAATAAATGTGTAAATGATCGTGACACGAACCACGGCCTTCTGTTTCGGGGCCGCCCGATTACCGACCGAGCTATTATAACATTTTTTTTGCGGCGAAATTTACCGTCGTATTCAAATGATATTATTCATTCCCTGAAAACAGGGATAAAAGGACATTTTATAAAAATGAAACCTAGCTAGATTGATTTTTCGACCCCGAAATCTACGCACATACTAAATTTCATGAAAATCGCTGGAGCCGTTTCCGAGATTCCGATTATATATGTATATAATTTTGTGTATCCTCTTAGGTTGGACAATAAAGTATTAAGTAGGTATCTGAACTTTTCCGAACATACCACAGTTTGTCAAAATCAAAATCATTAAATTTGTTTATAGAAGAGCGATCAACTCATTACCAGTGTGTGACATTCATTTCATATTCTATTAATTTTTTGTTGTCTGTACTCGTATAATAAAAATAATAATAAAATAGGCATTTGAAGCTCAATCACATGAAGCGATGAGTCTATTTAATTATAATATCTGTAATGCAGTGGTGATTCCCCGTACCATAGATTATATTATGGGCTATATTGCTATCTGTGATACGGGGAATCCCCTTTTAAACTAAAATAACCATAAACTAGAGATTGATTATGACTGTTTGTAGTTTGGCTAAGTGAAGTGTACGGTAAAGAGTGTTTTAGTTAAAAATCGATACAATTGTTATTTTTATTGCGATAAATTGAAAATTCATTGATTTCGCCATGGATATACGGGCATTGTTTGGAAAAAAACGAAGAGTTGAAGAGCAAATTGACCATGAAGAACCTCACTGCTCAAAACAGGTGGAAGCACAAAATACAATCGCTACTCCTAGTTCCATGGCAACAGGTTGGTCAACACATTTTGGTAATGTTAGCTATGGTATTCCTTCTGATATTGCACAAATCGGAGAACCAATAAAACAAGTTATTTTAGAGTCATATCCAAAACACCATAACAGGGCCTTTGTTTCCGATTGGTTCAAGCGTTATAAATGGTTGCAGTATTCCGTCGAGAAAGATGCTGCTTTTTGCTATCCATGCCAGCAATTTTTACCTCATGGAAGCAAACAGACTTCGTACACTTCCACAGGATTTAGAAACTGGAAAAATGCCACTGATTTTAAAACTGGTTTTCCAAAACATGAAAAATCAATTTCTCATATTCAAGCTTTGTCGATGTGGCAGGAGAAATTACAAAGAATATCATCATAATACAAGTGTTGAAACGTTAATAAATCAAAACGTATTAGAAAAATATAGGTATTACGTGAAGTCTATCGTTGAAATAATACAATTTCTAATTGTCAACGAATTGGCTTTGCGTGGAAATTATATTTTGGAAGAAGAAAAAGAAGAAGGATTATTTCAGAATTTATTTGAATATACATGTATGAAAGATCCGAATTTGAACGCGGTCCTTACTCATATACCACAAAACGCAACATATCGTTCACCTGAAATGCAAAATCAATTAATACAGGCAATGGTCCAAGCAGTACGAAGTTCCATTGTCAAAGATATTAATGAATCTGACGTGAAATGGTTTACTCTAATGGAAGATGGGACGAGAGATAAAAATAACCGCGAAAATATTGCATTAACAATACGTTACGTCAAGGATGGTGTCGTCAATGAGTCGTTGCTGATGGTTAAAACTACTGAAAACCTTGATGCAGCCACTTTCGTGGCTGCATCAAGTTTCGAATTAACGTTAAATGCCCTTACGGAAAATAACATTGACCCCTCTTGTATGCTTAGCCAATGCTATGATGGCGCAAGTGTAATGAGTGGGAAAGTTTCAGGAGTTGCGACTAGAATAGAAAATAAATTGGGCCGCAAAATTCCTTACGTCCATTGCTATAACCATCGCTTGCACTTAATAGTCATCAGAACTATCTCAGAAATGACTTTCATTCGTTTATTTTTTGACCAATGCATCATGTTACATGAATTCTTTCATCATGGCAAAATAGCTGCCTTATATGGTGGAAAAAGGATTGGCCGACTCCTCGAACAACGCTGGTCTGGACATTTGTCAGTAACAAAAGTTGTATACGATAATTATTCATCGATTTTGCAGACTTTGAAAGAAATTAAAAATGACAGATTCAACGGTGATGACGTCGCCAAGAGTATCGGTATTAAAAAAGTCATGCTTGATCTGGAATTCCGAATGGCCATGGTTGTGACCAAAAAAATGTTATCCACGCTGCAGCCTGCAGATGCAGCTTTGCAAGCCCGAAGCGCAGGGTTGAAAGACGCGATAACAATCATAAAGTGTGTCGAAGATGAAATTATAAAATTAAGATCAAATCAAATGTATAATCAAATTCTGGAAGAAGCTAAGTCTTTAACAAGCGACAATTGCGGCGAATCTGAAAAGAGGACACAGACCTTGAAGAGGCAAGTAAAAAAACCAAATCGGATGGATGACTATTTGACATACGATCCTTCCTGTTCTTCCACCAGACAAAATATAGAAAAGAACGACGAGCCATTTAAGTCTGAGTATTTCGAAACGTTGGACATATTAATTGCTGAATTACAAAGAAGATTTTCGGACAACGATGATCTAATCAATTCGATTGCAAGTCTCGATGAGTTGGATGTAGATAAAATGCTTCCACTGAAAAGTTTGGGTAAGTTTAAAAAATTTAATAATTCAAATGATTTGTCATGTTGAATTTACGATTTAAACTAATTTTTCAGGTCTGAAAATTCCATCAAGAGAAGAGGCTAGTGTGGTTAAAGCTTACTTGAGTCGTAACGAGGACAAAATGGAAAATACATTACAAGTGTTGTACAGGCAACGAGAGGCGTTTAAAGATACATATGAACTTTTTGCATCTGTGGCGACCATAGGATGTAGGACTGCAGTGTGCGAATCTACGTTTTCAACTTTAACTGCAATCAATAGGCCTCAAAGGCTGTCAATGGGTCACGAGAGAATGGCTGGTATGGTATTACTGGCCTTTGAAAAAAAAGGACAAAATCAGTGGATCTGAACGAAGTTCTTCGCATTTTTAATAACATGGGGAATCGAAGAATTCAGTTGTTTTAAATATTTTTATTATTATGTTAATTGTTATAATAAGTTTGCAGAAACAATTTGATATAAATGGTATTTTTATTCGTTCATCTCATCCAACAATTAATTATTACCTCACTCTCACTCAGACGTGGATCTCTACATCCAAAGCTGGAAGTTCAACCATCTTGTTTGCTTATTCTTTATCATTAAGGATTTAATAGTGCGTGTGATCTGTGACAGAACATGAGCATGGATTTAACCATGCTCATGTTCTGTCACAGAAATTATTTGTCTACGAATAGCTATCGAACTGACCTAGAGGTCAGTGATATACATGATGATTGATTTAGGAGCTCATGCTTCGAGTGCAAATCAATTATGATAAATTGTTTACTTCCGCCCTACCTGTAATCAATGCTGCCCTACCTCAAATTCAACTGTAGCTACAGCCCTGGAGTGAGGTAACCAGAGACTACTTAATTAAAACGGTGGTAATGCATTTCCAACTTTACGGTGTTGCAAATGTCAATGGACCGTGGTTATCAACTAACATCAGGTGCACGTCCAGCTCGCTTGACGCATTCTCAAATAAAATAAGCGTAAACTCCGATAACTCTACTATAAGGTACTGTAGTATCCATACTAATATTATAAAGGCGAAAGTTTGTATGTGTGGATGGACGTTTGTTATTTGTGTAAAGTTTGTATGTGTGTTGTTTGAAAATTGGGCTCCGGCTACCTCACTAGCCGGAGCCCAATTTTCAAAAGGTTCTTGACACATCTGTAAACCCTCGGGTGTAGCAAATGTACACTTAACATCAGGTGAACCGTCTGATCGTTTGACAACTTTTCACATAAAAAAAAAGAAGGCGCAGGTTCAAGTCTTGGAAATTTTGCGACAGTTTCATCTACAAATTTAAAAAAGTCTCTGACTGGCAATAAAAAGAAAAAATTCAAATACCAAATACGTCTCCTTTCCAGGAATGTGCGGAGTCGAAGAAAAGCTACACATATGAGCAGCTGCAGAGAAACATGGCTGTGTTCGCGACCTCGCTGCGGAGGAAGCTGGGCCTGAACCCTGGTGACATCATTGCCGCCATGTTGCCCAACTGCCCACAGTTCCCAGTGGTGGCCTTCGGCGCGTTGCAGGCCGGCTGCGTGCTAACACCAGTGAACCCCATATACAAAGAATGTAAGATATGTTATGATGTACAAAGAATGTAAGGTGACTCGGTGGTGCAGTTGCTAAGCTATTGGCTTCGGCCCTGGGTCGTGGGTTCGATTCCCACACGGAACTAGTATTTGTGTGACCAACAGACAATTGTTCCGTATGTGGGTGTTTGTTCCCCAGGATGGTTGACGACACACAGGTGGCCGGTCGTAAAATACCTAGTCAAAACCACTTACAACATGATTCACATGTCGTGCCGACCCCACCTAGTTGAAATAAGGGTAGTAGGATGATGATGACGAATAATTAAGATATGTATAAACGTTCCTCATTAATTCACAAGATTGTTATATCTCAGCTGTGCGTTGGTTCTCGTTTTTCGAATTTACATTAATTTTATCTACGTAACAATAATTGTTCTTGAATTGGTGTTATACCACGCACAAATAAGTAAAAGGATATTCGACAGAAGGGGTAGTGTTTTAAAGCACAAGCACTGAACTTATATAACTTCATGCCATACAAAACAAATGACTCATTGTTTCAAGGTACTTGTATACTTTATGAGCAATATATTTTGACTTCCTTCTCCGGCTGTCCCAAACGGCATTGTTGCCATTTAGCGGTCTTGGAAACTTGGATATTGGCCTTTTACATCAGTTAAAAAATCCAAACAAAAATTATCTTTAACAGATTCCTAATATTGAGTCATCTCTTTATAATATAGGAATTATATTTCTCAACTGAAGGAAACATAATTAACATTAGCAATACCATGACATTGAATTGAACTTACGGCGAATACTTATGTCGAAAACCTTGTGTCATTTCGATAGTTAAAAACATTGAGAGGTGTGAAGGGACATCCGGATGGAACGAAGTTCCTTTCGATTAATTAGTGAAGGAATTGTAATAAAATTTTATTTTTTTTAAGTTATAATAATATTTTTTTTTATTAACAAATATAATGTAATATAAACTTAATCAGTAGGCTCAATTTTAGTAATAATTGGCTTTTGGTAACTGAAGTAGGAAACATATGTTTGGGATTCTATTTTATTTAAATGTCTTGCAAAAACTGCATCAATGGTACTATTATATTTTGTTGTTGATTCTGCTGGATTATTGTTAATTCTTAAATCAAATTCTTCCTCTAGAAACTGTCATGTTTTTCTGTCTGACAGACAAACAACAGACAGAGAAACATGCGCACGCCGCACAGCTTACAATAGCTTACTATAGCAAAAAGTGTCGTTACAACTTATCGTGAGAATTTTTTCCGTCTAGCCCCCTTTCACAACGCGCAATAAGGAACTTCGTTCCAAAAGTCAACTGTTTTTAACACGCTTTTATTATTGACTTCTTGATTTTACGCGAATATTCTACATATTAAATGTAACTAGTTTATGGATTTTATCGCGTTATTATTTTTTATTCCCGAAGTTTCGAACACTTTATAGAGACTGACTGAGTTATTTACACGTCTTAATTTCAAAGTTAGGCCGGGCCGTAGTCGTGGTGTTGCAACTTATATACTATAAGTTGCAACAGCACTACTGTTGTGGATGTTAAGAGCGGTAGTAACCCCTAAAATTAGTTGCTCACAACCGAATGCTCATTTGATACATTTTCCCCGCAAAACATTTATTCCGAAGATTTCAAAGTACGGCGATTACCTTTCAATGAAATATCTCAATAATGCCTGTTAGGTATGTTCACTGGAAACGTTGTTACTCGGGTCCAAAGTAGTTGTTATTTATTTTTCTCGTAACTAACTACCGGCTTGTGTTTCTATATGTGTAACTGGTGATCATCGTCATCGTAATTTCAGCCCGTTAGAGTCTACCGCTGAACAAAGAGCTCTCCCACAGACCACCAAGAAGCACGATCCTGGACCACCTGCATCCATCAACTTTCCGCACATTTGCCCAGGTCGTCAGTCCATCTAGTAGGGGCGTCCAACACTGTGATAGTTACTGTAGTAAATATACATTGCAAGAGTTCTTAAGATATAACGACGCCACGTATAATGTTTTTATGCTCGGTGACGCCTTCAACATCCATCTAGGGGACATTATAATCGCCTTATCATGGATAATCGTCTTACCTAATGGCTTTGTGATATGCCTAAGCCACATATCGTACTTTGCACTTGATAAGCCACGTGAAAGATAGCTATTGTAATCAAATTTTTTTATTTACTTATTTTAGGTTTAATATAAAACATATACACAATATATGCATACACACATATAAATAAATAGTACCTGTATATATGTGTGTTTGTATATATCACAACAGAAAAACGCTTACACGAATATACTCAAAAAACAACATCTGATCATTCAAATCATTAGACATATGTTTATACATTTAAGACATACATTAATATATAATTTCGTACGAAGATAATAAAGAAAATTTACAGCCATGTAATAGAAAGCAATTTCGGTATGGTACATGAATACGATAACGTTCAAATGCAAATTGCATCATTGCAAAAAAATGCAACAGCCGAGGCTGCTGCGTGGCCCTACCACCGTTGTTACTAAGCTAGTTCCAAATAAAGTTTATGTAATTCTATTATTTCATGTTTTTATTTCACTTTATTTCAGTCGAAGTTACCCATCAAGTGTCCACGACGGAGCCAAAGGTTTTCATTACCGTCCCACAATGCTACGAGACTGTATTGAAAAGTCTTAACAATGCAAAAATTGACGCTAAAATAATCGTAGTTGACAATCCCCAAACGCCTGTTCCCGAAGGCACAATAAGATATTCGGAATTATCGGAATCGGGTGAGGCAGACTACGCGTTGCTAGATAGAGTTGAGAAGAAAAATGACGACGTAGCGTTTATACCCTTTTCAAGTGGGACTACTGGTCTGCCCAAAGGGGTAGAGATAACATATGGGAACCTTTTGGCTGCCATGGAAATTATGCAAAATGAAAGGACGTCGTTCCCGTTTCTCACAAAAGGTAATTTAAGTGGTGACTTTTGTTGTCTTACGCAATGTTTTATTTGGAAGTAGTGTGTTGTTAACAATTTTAAACAAGAATAAAAGAGAGATCTTCATAGCTATAAAAAAACCCGTATATTTCAGTAATTTTTTTATGCTGCTAAACTTAATCAAATATAATGTGTTATTTTTAATGTTTATATTACATTAAATTCAATTTGATTAATTTTAATTTTAGTTTCTAATTGATACTCTTTTTAAAGAGTATTATGAGAGCTTCTTTTCTTGTAAAGTTTATGTGGAGCTGCGAATATTGAAAAACGAAATGCTGTTTAATAAAGTAACTAATAAAGGTGACTAGTGGGTTCATAAATAAAAACAACCCAGTAATACAATTTCTTCAGAAGATACATGTTTTTATTTTTCTATAGCTGATTTAATTTTCAGGTGACTTTCAAGACATTGTACCGTGTATCCTGCCTTTCTTCCACATTTACGGATTAGTGGTTACACTGATAGGACACTTGGCCAAAGGGTGTAAATTGCTGTCGCTACCAAAGTTCTCCGCAACGTTGTACCTTGACGTCTTAAAGCATCAAAAACCGACCCTTCTGTATGTGGTTCCACCCGTAGGTGAGTGTCATCCGGAATAACGAATTTTGATGTGGTTTACTTATTTTTATGAATCTCAGGGTTCTATGTGAAAGCAACAGTCTCACGAATAAGTGAATTTACAACTTCATCATTAAGTCGCATTTTTAGTTTATTTTTAATTTTAACCTAATTATGTTTAGTAACGAAAGGAGAGTTTTTGACAAGCAGTATGCGATGGATTGTGAAAGACCTAGCTAATACCATTTGTGAGCACTGAACGTAGGGTATATAGTCAGGCAAATATTACGAAGTGCCTTCTAGACATTTCTATAAAATGTCAATTTCCTTTTTTCAAAGCCATCCTACTCGGCAAGCACCCTGATGTGACTTCGGACCACTTTAAGAGCGTGAGGAACATCATATGCGGAGCAGCGCCTCTGGCCGCGTCAGACGTCGACGCCATAATGGAGAAGAGTAAAGTAAGACTGTATTGCAATGGCGTATTTTGTGCCAATTTCAACTAATTTACACGCAATATACGATGTGATTTTTATTATGCGAGAAACTGAGGAACGAGCTGGCAGTTCACCTGATATTAAGTCATAACCGCCGCCCATGGACATTTGCATTACTTGCAATTGTATTGCCACCTTTTAATAAAGCAAACTTATAATAAAGCGAAACGCAAAAGTATAATAACACTTCCACTTAACCTGTCTTCTGTGAGGTCGTGGTAATTACCCGGACAGACCTGCCCATTCATGCAACAGCGATTACTATTGCGTGACATTACCACAGTTGCATCTGAACTACATCTTGAAAATGACACCAATGTAAATGAAAATGAAAGCCACAAAGCGCTATATAAACCATGAACGACTCCACATTATAATTGAACAAAGTTGGAACCGATATTCTACCATGTGCCAAGCTTCAAAGGGACTTCGAGTTACAAATGAACGAAGTTGAAACCGATTTACGCTACCATGTGCCAATTATTTGTTTGTCCTTAATTTAAAAGTTGTTTAATGCTATAAGAAGATGCTTGACTTTCGCAACCTATATAAGTACCAAACATATATATCAATGAATCAATCAAAAATCTTTATTCAAATAGACGCTTGCGCGTTCTTATGAATCGTCAAATTTTACATAAAAAATATACATAGAGGTTCGTAAGGTACCACCGGTTCGGAAAGCAGTTTCTGTTGAGAAGAGACCGGCAAGAAACTCAGCAGTTGCTCTTTTTCAAAGATATCAGTTTACAATATAATAGTCTTATTCTATCCTACGTGAGTAACAACAAATCTATGTATCTTATTTTACCAATTTGAACGAAACGTTATTATTTTTTTATGTGAAAAGTTGCCAAGCCAGCAGACGGTTCACCTGATGTTAAGTGAATACCGCCGCCCATAGCTACTCACTCACCAGACGAAACGCGAAAGTATTATACTTCCACTTGACGCCGGTCTTCTGTGAGGTCGTGGTACTTACCCGGACGAGCCTGCCCATTCGTGCAACAGCCGAGGCTGTTGCGTGGTCTACCACCGTAAAATATACCGTTATTGTTGTAGAAATCAAATTCATTACAAAACTAATATGGGTGTTGAAAGATTTGATCGGTCAAATATTGATAGCAAATTTTGTATTGTATTAGGACTCAGTGTATCGAAATATAAATATAGTGATAAAAAAAGTGGTTAAAATAAAATAAAAAACAACACGTTTTTATAGATAACCGAAGTAAAAAGTAGAAAATAATTTTTAATAAATTTACATAATGAAGTGTGATTAACAAAAAGAAATATTTTATAGTTAGTAGAAAAGCGCTTGTAGTAGAAAAAGGCTGCTTGGAGTTAATTGTTATAATATATATAGACAGTAAATATATATATATATATATATATATATATATATATATACTAGCGGCCCGCCCCGGCTTCGCACGGGTAACAATACTTTTAACAAAAAAATTAAAAATTAAAAAACAAAATTATCATACACACAAATAAAACCTTCCGAATGTTTCGTCTGTGGTGAATAATGTTATGAATTTCTTAATCTTTTAATGAAATAAAAAAAAATCATGTCTGTTTTATGGGAGCCCCACTTATTTATTTTTTCTTTTTTAGTATTTGATAATATAGCGGCAACAGAAATACATCGTTTGTGAATATTTCAACTGTCTAACTATCACGATTCATGAGGTACAACCTGGTGACATATGGACAGACATACGGACATACAGACGGACAGCGGAGTCTTAGTAATAGGGTGCCGTTTTACCCTTTGGGTACGGAACCCTAATAAATCCCAGTAATAATGCAATGGCTTAAAACAGGTAGCTCTAACCATCAACCTAAATGCATACAATTGCATGCATGTCACAGTTTTGTTACGCACTATACCTTGCTGAGGAATAGTCAAATTATAACCGTCTTCCCCCATTACGACGATTAAGGGATATTGTAGTGGATCATGCAATCGGTGTAACTCAGAGACCCTTTTAAGTTGGCCTTGTCTACCGTGCAGCACTATATCTCTGGGGCCATTTTATGGTTCGGTACCCAAAGGGTAAAATGGGACCCTATTACTAAGACTCCGCTGTCTGTTTGTCCCTCACTTTTATACCTCACGTTTATACTAACTTTTCCAGAAGCACAGCATATACCATTTGGTTCATCGACCCATTTTTAGGCAGAACACTGAGCAGATCTTATTCATGGCTTCGAATTGGACAGAAGACTATTGAGCATAATGCAAAAAAGCTGATCTGTTACTGTGAGCTAAAACTCGATTACGAAGTCTAGTCGTTGACATTTGTTGTCTTTGAATCTAATCTCGTCGGCGTTGGAAACGCTCAGAGCTCGATTCTCTAGTGTGAATTTATATATTATAAATATTTAAATGATTATTTTGCTCTTCAAGCCACTGCAAACACTCTACTTGATTCTCTCTGACTTGTAAGACGATTTTCAGTTTCCGGTAAAGATTCTTCATTACGACGTATTTTTGATACCCTTTATTTCTTGATCTTTGGGCACTTTAAAATGATGTTGAACAGGAATTACCACTAAAAATGTGATTGAAGAATTATAAGAATTACTAAGTCGGTCACTAAGCTGTTTGGATAGTTAATAATTTTAACAATTAACAATATACTAACATTTTTAAACTTGTGATATCTTTCGAATGAAATGTCCGAATTTGATAATTCAAAAAGTTATGTAAAGATACTGAAACAGCTTTAAATAAGAAGTTATTTATTTTTATAAGGATTAATACCAAGATACAGATAAAGAGCCTTTTCTAGCGGCGGCATTTCAATCAAAATTTTAAAATAAAAGAACACTAATTGTGGCATAACTATAATAGTTAGACATATGCTGTCGCGACACTTTTTGTAAATAATAATGTGTTCTGCAAAGTCGTAGTACATTATTTTATTCTTTCATCAATAGTTTTCGCAGCGCACGCGATGTAAAGAATATTCTAGGTAATTTATGTACACCTTGAGTAACATTATTGGAGTTTTAGTAAGGATCTCTAATTTTTTTGAAAATATAATATAGCCTATATCAAGCAGGGATAATGTAGGTAGCTTCTCAACAGTGAAAGAATTTTTTAAATCGGTTTAGTAGTTTCGGAGCCTATTCAATACATACAAACAATCAAATCTTTCCTCTTTATAATATAGAGAAGATATATATATATATATAGTATAAAAAAAGTAGTCATAATGGAAATATCTAAAAAAGCCGGCAGTGAAGGACCACGTCTCACTTTCGCAGATGCATAGAAATATATAAATGGCAGATATCTTAAGCAATTTTTGGCGGAGATTAAAAAAAAATTTAATAAATTAAATAAAAGATAGTATTAATACTGCCCAATAGAATTGGAGGTGAAATTTATTAAATATTTGTTGTTCTGATTATTTGTACTACACATGTCTGAGTAATCATAATATCAAAACTTGAAACGGTTCGTTTCGAGTGTGATAAGGATAAATAGTTATTTCCACAGATCTCCAATTTTTTTCTATTAAAAACATGACCGGGATATTGTTATCCTAGCGTAAGTAAGACCCTAGGATAACAATATACCGGGTTTTAAGGAGGTTTTACATAATTAAATTTCACGTTGACAAACACCTATGCGAAACAATCATCTGTGGGTCACACAAATAGTTTCCGTGCGGGAATCGAACCCACGACCGAGCTGTGGTAGGAGCACGCAACAGTACTCGCTGTTGCACGAATGGGCAGGTCCGTCCGGGCTAGTACCGCGATCTCACAGAAGACCGGCGTATAATAGGAATTCACTTCTGCGTTTCGTCTGGTGAGTGAGGTAGCCGGGGCCCACATTATTAAGAGGTGGCACCGCATCTGATATTGTGAGGATTGATTGATATTCTGAGGATGTTTATCTCAGTGGCCTAGTGTGCACTATCCATCTTTATATATCTGAAACGCCACGTGGTTTTTATGAGCTTTAGTTTAATTTGCCATACAATACGAGCAAATGGTTGTCTAGTAATAATAATAATACATACCTTTTGTAAAAGTGAAAATATAACGTAATATTTAAATTAAGGAATTGATATATTGTTTTTACTAGTACTTATATAATTTTTCTAGTACAGAGTGTGACTGTGAGGATCGGAGATCCGCCATATTGTTGATGTGCCTTTTACTTGTTAAATAAAGTATTTTATTATTACATCTTAATATATTTTTTTATAACTATTATAAGATTATTATATTGCTGCATATGAGTAGGCTGCAGTACGGCATCGAATCGGACTATCATGAAGTATGAAGGTTAGCACTGAAAATCATCGCTGTGTTGGGGTGTTGACTTCCGGCACAGCATAACGCTGAGTGCTGACCTAATTTACCGATAATAGGGCGTACAATTTTTTTTTCCTTTAAATTGATTTATTTTTCTTTTGTTTTTAGTTTTTTGTATGTACAGATTTTGTTTTGTTTTCTTTACTCTTGTGTGTATTATTTTAATTTTTTTTTTCAAACTTTCTTTTATTTTTTGTTAAATTTTTGTTGTGTGCGTCCTTTTTTGGTTAATAAATTTATTTTCTTTCTTTCTTTCATCTGCAACCCTACGGGTGCTGCAAATGTCCGTGGGCGGTGGTTATCACTTAACACCAGGTGAACCGCCAGCTCGTTTGCCACTTTCCCACATTACAAAAAAAAAACCGACCCCGAAGCCAATAGTTTGGCAACAGCGCCACGGAGTAGCCGGTCTAAGCGGGCGTTGCTTTCGCAGAACCAGCTGGAATTCAACCAGGGCTTCGGTGCTACGGAGACTACCGCTTTGGCGACGTCCACTTTGCTGGGCACCAAGGTGCCGGACTACTCCGCCTGCGGCGTCCCCATGGCCAGCGTGTGCATGAAGTTCGTTGACCCCGTAACGGGTCAGACGGTTCCCATAGGCGAGGTGAGGAACATTAGATTCACGGTAAACTAAAGGAAGGTAACAGCCGTATGTATCGCACCATTCTATGTACTATAGCTAGGCAATATACTCTCTTGTACAAAAGTATTGGGAGTATTGTATCAAAATCGTTTTAGAATTCTGTCGTTATTCGCTTACGAAGGATCAAGTATTCAATGAATTTATTATTCCTTTATGATAAGGTTTCTTCTAAGAGGTAAAATATGAAGCAATAATTTAAGAATAAATTTTAAAATTTAAATTATGGTGATTTAAAGTATGATGGACGAAAATGGGTAGAGCAAAGGCTAATTTGTTATAGTAAAATAAAAAGTGCTTTTGTTAAGTAATTCAGCCTTTTATATAACTCGTCAAGACTTTCTATTGCTGCAGCGTATACTTAAAATTAAATCACATATATGTATAATAGAAAAGTCAGTAAAATTAATATCTCGTATATTAGCATATAAGTATTTTTGTTTTTGGAACAGCGGTAGGGAAAACTACATTTAAACGCGAAAAAATCCGTTATTTGGTTTTATAAAATAATATTTATTATTTGCGTAAAGAGAAATTATTATACATTAAAGACTTTTTAAATATACCAACTGAAGGGAACATTCTCGAACCATTTATTAGCTTTAATTAATGGTAAGTAATCATAACGTTCTTTTCCGTTTCAGTCAGGGGAACTCTACGTAAAAAGTCCCACCGTTATGAAGGGATATTACAAGAATGAAGAAGCGACCAAGGAAAGCCTCACCGCGGATGGGTACTTCAAGACTGGAGATTTGGGCCATTACAAGCCGGAAACTGGTCTTTTCATTACAGACAGAATCAAGGAGCTTATTAAGGTAAGTTATTAAAATAGTACAGAAGTTTAGCAAGCTGAAATGGCGTAGGGCCAGTTAAATAGCTCGTTGAACCGATAACCGTTGGGTAGAAATGTCAGTCCCATTAGATGTGACGACCTGTGTTTTTTTTATGTGAAAAGTTGCCAAACTAGCAGGCGGTTCACCTGATGTTAAGAGAATACCGTCGCCTACGGAGATCAGCTACACCTGCAGATGCGTTGACAACCTTTTGAAAATTAGGCGAAAGTATTATACTTCCACTTGACGCCGGTCTTCTGTGAGGACGTGGTACTTAACCGGATTAGCATGCCCATTCGTGCTGCGTGGCCTTACCACAGTTCGAGTAGTCGTTCGATGCAGGTGACTCAGAATCGCGTTTGGTGTCAGTGGGTGGGGGTGGTCTAAATTCAAACCGGCCGAAACGGTGATGGTTACCATCGAAGAACATTTTGGTCTCGCAACCGGAGGAGACCTATGCCCGGTGTGATTGGGAACTGTAATTGCCCGTCGCCCGGCGCAGGTGAAGGGCATGCAGGTGGCGCCGGCGGAGCTGGAGAGCGTGCTGCGCTCGCACCCCGCGGTGCGGGACGCGGCGGTGGTGGGCGTGGCGCACGCGCTGCACGGCGAGGCGCCCAAGGCGTTCGTGGTGGCGCGCGGCGCGGTGGGGGCGGACGAGCTGCGCCGCTTCGTGGCCGAGCGGGTGGCCGCCTTCAAGCAGATCGAGCAGCTGGTCTTCGTCGCGGACATCCCCAAGACCACCTCGGGCAAGATCCTGCGCAAGGAGCTCAAGGCGATCGCCTAGCGGCGTCGTTTAGCCCGCTCATTTGCGGTGGCGTGGCCATCACTCCCGAGCCCTCAGCTGGGGGGAGGACTAGAGAGTACGGACAGTCAAAGATCGCTTAGTTAAAGGGTCGAAAGTTTCCCGTATGCGTGTAAAGTTAGACAAAAACAAACAGTAATTTCGATTGCTTGTACTGCGAGGATGCCCGATCAAAACTTGTCCCTTAGTGATGGAGGAAGACGATTGTAGGCAGCGTTTCGAATAGTCAAAATGTAAAGTTAGACAAACTAATTTGATTGCTTACTGAGTGCATCACTTGTCTATGATCATTGCAGCCGTTTTTGCTGTTTAACTGAGTTACTTTATTGTGTTAAGTATTTTTGATTTGTATATGTCGTTTCTTTAATTTAAATGAAACGGTGTTCATTTTCGAAATTTACCTAATGTTTTTAAAAGTTTTCAATTGGCAAGATGATCTTAACTTGCCATTTTAACACATCCGTAATGAAAATTTTCTCTGCGATTGATGATTTATTTTTTTAAAATAAGTACACGGACTAATACATACTAAAACATAATATGAAGAAATTTTGTGAAACACTAATAAATATAAAATAAAAAATAATGGAATAAGAATGTAAAATAAAAAAAATAATCTTTTATGAAACGCTGCTCAAAAAGGCTAGCAATTATAAATTAGTAATATATTATGTCGTTAAAAATAACTATATCTTAAGATGTTATGTGGTTCTGGTCATTGGTGTTAGTCAATATGTAAGGATTATGAGTGATTCTTGTTGTACAATTATATTTATAAAAAAAATATACTTCTTTCGTTTATTATTTCCAATATTTACAACATTAAATCGAACTAAATTCCATAGTATGTAATAAATATTGGGAAGATCAATATTGTATAAAGTATTCATAGAACTTAAACTTATTTTCTTTTACTGTTCATAAATTGTAAAAAAAAAAAAAACAGTGAAATTGTGTTATTAAATAAGTAATTTAATATAAATTGTTTTACTTGCATTTTATGCATTGAAACGTTTTTATGAATAGTAATAACATATTAGGTATACTTATTCTCAAGTAAGTTCGCCTACGAGTTAAAGAACATTATAAGTTTGTTGAAATGTTGACAGTACCCCATTCGGATTAAATAATTCATGTTATGAATGATATTGAACTTTTTCAACTTAATGGGTCTTATGTTTCGAAAGGTCGAAAGAAGAAATGAATGATTGGCACATTTGTTTGACATAAAGTTTAACCTCCATCAAAGTTTTGCTATCTCCCTTTAGGTATATTTGTAGTTTTCCAAAAAACATAAATACGAAGGATGAATACGTCTCTACGTACGTAAAAATGTCAAAGGACGAATTGAATATTTCGTGGCGCAATTGCCAAGGTATTGGCCTCTGCATCAGGGTTGTGGGTTCGATTCCTACACGGGACTGCTATTTGTGTGACACATAGATAATTTTTTCGGATCTGGGTGTTTATTCACGTAAAATTTATGTATGTAAAACATCCATACAACACAGTTGTTAAATGGATGTGTTTTTAAAAAAAAAATAATACCATAGGCAATAGTGTTTTTAAAAACCACTATTCAGCTGGTTTTGAAAACAAATATTGGTGAACTTGGATGTAATTGTGATGATGATAGGTAACTTTAAAGACCTTATAATGCCTGTAATGCTTCAGTAGATTGCTTAAAGTCTGACGCAACGTTGTACCGCGACGTACATAGTACGCTAACTAATATGAAGGTCAATTCTAAGGAGTGTGGGAACAAACAGTTTTGTCTTTTATTGTAGTGAGAAGGTGTCAAGCGAGTTGGCGGTCCACCTTATGGTGATAGTTTGTGTGATGAAAGTAAAAAGTAAAGTATTAGCCCATGCTACATGTCCCAGTGCTGAGCAAAGGCCTCCTCTGTACAGGGGGTATAAGGGCATAGTTGGATTGGCGGACTTCACATATCTTCGAAATATTTTTTTTTTATCATTATTTCGAAAATATGCAGGTTTCCTCACGATGTTTTCCTTCACCGCTGAGCACGTGATAATTCAGTAATTAATTCGCTTAAAATTAACAATTTCATTGGTGCCGGCACCGGGGATCGTAATCGGGTAGATCGGGTATATTGAATTAAAGGCGAGCGCCCGGACACTGAGCTATCACGGTTAATTGCCGCCCATTAACATTTGCAACATCCGTAGAAACAACAGTTGCAGATGCGTTGCCACCTTTTTGTAAAGTTGGCTCCGGCTACCCCAATCACAAGACGAAATGCAGAAGTACGCCATTACACTACATACCATTTTCACTTCACTGGACTTCTGAGTGGTCGTGGTACATACCCGGATGGAGCCACGAAACAGCAAGGGCTGTTATCTGGCCCCATCACAGTAAAGCTTAGTTTTAATTTCTACAACTTTTGACTTGATAAAATCATCGTGATATCACATAACAGTTTGTGTAGTGTCAAATGTCGGTGGTTAAAAAACCGCACAAAAAATTATGGCTACTGTAGCTCCCGGACAGGTAGCTATTGTGGTGTTTATAATAATTATACCAGCTGTTAGATAAGACTACGTCTGCGTTTGTTATTCTATTAACAACTACACCTCGTTTACTGAATTTTTCCACGGCAGGAAAACACAGAAGAACTGAACACGAAGTGCGCCTTAGAATATTTGTTTCGTGAAAAATTATTATTATATTAGGTAAAGATAGCACAATATTTTTTTACATAAGTGTGAAGTGTTAAAGAAATAAGATTTGGAAGAAATAATTGAAATCTATCCAGTTGTTTTTCCGTGATGGATGTACAAAGACAGACCTCCATTATTTTGTTTATATAGATACTACTTATACCCGCGGCTTCGCTCGCGTTGAAGCCCTTTAATAACTTTTTACATTTTTTAAACACATTTTTTTATGTAATACAAGTATAATTTTAACAAAAAAAAAACAACTTCAATCAGAAAATTAAAAACATTGTTAATACCTATAACATTTAATGATGGCCCTCGATTTCTCTGGGATAGCATCATCAGATCCGAGTTTCCTTACTCTTTGGAAATCTCCTTTCTGACAAAAAAATAATCATCAAAATCGGATCATAAACGATGAAGTAATCCACGAACGCACATAAAAAAATAAAAACATATACGAATTGAGAAACCTTCTCCTTTTTTGAAGTCGGTTAAAAAAAATCCTGTCCTTTTTTATACGTCTAAGAATATGTGTACAAATTTTCATGATAATCGGTTCAGTAGTTTTGGCGTGAAAGCGTAACAACCAAACTTACATTTACCTTTATAACATTAGTATGGATGTATATAAATGTAAGTTCAAATTATAGTTACAATATTTGTAATGACACTTAAAGCACACTATGCCTAAATACACACACAATACGTTAATTACACATTTATAGATATTATTCTTATGTTATTATTTCATGTTGCTCGGAAGCTCCCCTTTCCTTTTGCTAAATGCTTTCTTTACTTCTTACTTTTACTCTGCCGCCCTTTGATTTACGTATTTTCAGGTAATATTACAATATTTCTCACAGATATAAGACTCAATTATTAAAACCCAATTGTGTATGTAGTGACATAGTATAAAATAAAGTTGTCCCGCTGTCTGTCTGTCCCTATGCATGCTTAGATCTTTAAAACTACGCAACGGGTCTTGATGCAGTTTTTTTACTAGATAGAGTGATTCTAGGGGAAGGTTTACATTTACAATACACTAGCTGCTGCCCGCAACTATATCTGCGTAGAATAGGCCGAAGTCGTAACATTCAGACAGATATATATAAAATATGTATATAAATTATAGCCTATGTATTATTCTGATGTATAAGTTATATTATTGTAAAATTTCATTACAATTTTACGGTGGTAGGGCCACGCAGCATTTGGCTGTGCAAAGAGGCCCGTAACGGGTAAACCACCATCCTCACAGAAGACTTTCGCGTTTAGTGGAAGTATCATTAAAGACTAGCTGCTGCCCGCGACTACGTCTGCGTAGAATAGGCTGATTGCGTAACATAGAGACAGAAAGACAGTTATACATAAAATATGTAAATAAATTACAGCCTATGTATTATTCTGATGTATAAGTTATATTATTGTAAAGTTTCATTACAATGCATTCAGTAGTATGTGTGAATGAATAACAAACATCCATCCATACATACAAACTTTCGCCTGTATAATATTAGTAGGATAGTAAGGATTGCACCCCCGTGAAGCTAGTTAATACATATTATAATAGCCCTATACAGTCTGACGCAGGAAATACTCCTGCGATGTTACATCTCATCAATACAATTTGAATCTACGAGTATACTCTAGATCCCTCCTTATGTTTGATTTCGCTTCTTGGTACAATCTTTATGGTGAGTGCCGCATCCACAAACATTTATCCGATAAATTTCAAAGAGAACAACTTTAATAGACTACAGTAGAACCAATTTCAATCACAGGCTATATAAATAGCTTTAATAAATTTTACAAAGCAATGAAGACTGTGTGATTTTTTCCGTGGCAAATTATTCAGCACAATTTGCATTCGTTTCACTTGCTAATGTACAAACACTATAAACATTGCGTTACTGATGAGTCATGACCGGTCGTCATTGAAGGCAGATGGATTATATGCTTGTGTATTCATGTGTGGTTATATCTTAGGGTTGGGAGTTGACATCGAATAAGCAACTGTGTTCTAGCGATATGTTAAAATCGATTTTACTTCGGATAATTTTATACGGTGTTTATAATTCTGTCACGGATGCATAGTTGTAGATTTTAATTATTTATTCAGTAAGAAGTATCTTATCCCGATGCAAATTTTTCCAATTTGTTTTATTTTACTGGGCTTTGTTAGGCTTAAGGTCAGGCAATGCTGTTTTTCATGAGCTCATTCACTATTTAAAATTTACTTTGTTAAAAATTAAGAGTGTTTGAATATCCACGTTCAGTGCGCACTTGATATTG